CAGAATGAGCTGTGCCCCCGCCAGTGCCGACGCCTCCGCCTGACCCCCGCCCTGCCTGCCCTGCCCGCGCCACCATGCTCATCAAGGAGTACCGCATCTGCATGCCGCTCACCACCGAGGAGGTGAGTGGGGGGCAGTGGAGGGCTGGGGCTGCCTGTGCCCCCGAGGCTGGGCAGGAAAGGGGGGTGTCGGTTGGGAAGAGGGGTGGAGAGGCGGGGGGACCCCCAAGCCCCCAACCATGGGTGCCAGGGACAGCTCGGCTGCAGGGGCCCACCGATGGAAGGGGCTGCGGGTGGGGGTCCCGTACCCACAGCAGTGGGGTGCCAGGGGATCGGGTCCCTGCCCAGAGAGGACCTGGGGGACACCGCGGCCCCCTTTGCCATCCCCTTGTGGCACGGCTCATGGCAGGGACCGTTGCCTTGGCCGAGCCACTGAGGTGTGCTTTGGCCACGGCCATTGGGGTAGGGATGCCCTGTGTGAGTGCTGAGCCGTGTTTTGGGGCGCAGGCGGGGGGGGACATCCCATCCCTGGGCACGGTGACCTTGGGGCACGGAGCCCGACGGTAGCACTGGGGGCTGCTCGGGGGCCGCCCAGTCCCAGAACCACAGGATGAGCCGGCGGGCAAAGAGCACCGGGGGTTTGGGTGCCCGTGGCACCGCAGCGCCCGGAGTACTCCCCGATGGGGAGCACAGGCTCAATCCCTGCTCCGGCAAGGAGCCTGAATCCCTGTCAGCAAACAGCGGCGATAGCCGGCAGCCGGCGGCATCCCCAGCCAAAGGTCGCTCGTGAGCACCTGGTGCCGACGGGGCCGTTTCAGGGAGCAGGGAGATGGCGGTGGCGGTGCCCACGCCGGGCAGCGCCAGCCCTCCCCAGGCACCGGTTTTGCATTCGTACCTGGGGAAGGTTTTCAGTTAGGCCTGAATCCCTGTCAGCAAACAGCGGAGCCAGCCGGCAGCCGGCGGCATCCCCAGCCAAAGGTCGCTCGTGAGCACCTGGGACGGGGCCGTTTCAGGGAGCAGGGAGATGGCGGTTGCGGGGGGCCCGCCCCGGCAGGCACCCGCCTGGGGAAGGTTTTCAGTTAGGCAGAGAGGGGCGATAAGATCGTGCTGGCGGTTAGGGTGATGGATGGGATCTTCAGCAGAACAATAAAACACTTACGGTGCGGCTGCATCATCAAATACACACACACATATGTATCTCCATATACATCTCTCTCTCTCTCTCTCTCGATACATATATAGCTTTCCCTGGCTCCCAGGTTGCTTGCTGAGCAGAAAGCCTCCAGGCACTCTGCAAGGCACTCGGACACCAAGGAAGAGCAGGGAGGGCAGGATCCGGCCCTCGCCTGGGCGCTGGAGCAGCCCAGAGGCAGGGGGGGTTGAAACAGGGTGCCCCGGGAGACCCCTGCCCGCTGCACGGTTCGGGGTCTGTCGCCCCTTTCCTCCGTGCCTCAGTTTCCCCTCTCAGTGGTGCGGTTGGAAACCCGTTAGCCCGGTAAAGAGGAGCCCATCCCGGCGCTGCGCCGGCAGCCGGCTCAGCCGGGAGGATGCCCGGGGCAGGGGATGGCAGCGCTGAGGCCGGGCGCTGTGATTGCAGTACCGCGTGGGGCAGCTCTACACCATCAGCAAACACAGTCACCAGGAGAGCGAGAAGGGCGAGGGCGTGGAGGTGGTGAAGAACGAGCCCCACGAGGACCCGGTCCACGGCCCCGGCCAGTTCACCGAGAAGCGCGTCCACCTCTCCAGGTGAGGCTACGGCTCTGGCAAGGGGTGCTGGGTGGGGAGGGGGCCCCAGCGCCCCGGCTCCGTGAGGCAGCACCGCAGTGGGGGGCATGGGCAGGCATCGGGGTGGCCCCATCCCTCCCTCTAAAATTTTTGGGGAACATCCTTTCCGGGGTCCTTGACGCCCTGCAGTGTGGCTGCATCCATCTCCCAGGGGTGCATCCCTCTTCGGGGGCTGCACCTGTCTCCCAGGGGTGCACCCATCTTTGGGGGCTGCACCCAACTTCAGGGGCTGCACCTATCTTTCAGGGTGTACCCATCTCCTGGGATGCACTTATCTTGGGGGGCTGCACCCGTCTCCCAGGGTGAACCCATCACCCAGGGTGCACCCGTCTTCAGGAGCTGCGCCCATCTTTGGGGGCTGCACCCATCTCCTGGGGTGCACCCATCTTGCAGGGGTGCACCCATCCCTGGGGTTTGCACTCCTCTGCAGGGGCTGCACCCCTCTCTTGGTGGGCACCCATCTCTGGGTACCAGTGGGTGCCTCGGCTGCGGTCTGGAGCTCAGCGGGGACGCCCAGGCTGCCGCTCAGCCTGTCCCTGGGGGCGTCCCCACATCCCTGCGTGCAGCCCCGGGCGCCCGTTGGGCAGCTGCTGGCACCCGGCACTGCTGTCCCCGCCGCCGGCTGCGGCACGCCATGGTGCAGGCATCGGCTGCTCCCCCGCCGGGGAGTCGCTGGCGTGAGACGGGCTATTTTTAGCCACGGCGCTCACGATTCCCTGCTCGGGGATGGTATTTATAATGCCTGCAAATTAATCAAAACCTACCTCCCAGCTCCTCTGGGGGCCTGATCCTGCCCTGGGAGCGTGGACAGCCACGGGGTGCTGGGCAGGGGTGCCTGGGGGCAATGGGGCCACCATGGGGTCCTGGTCCTGGGGAAGGTGTGGGGGTCCCTGGGGAGGTGGTAGGGGTCCCCGGAGGTGGGAGGGGTGCCTGGGGGGTGCTGGGGTGCAGATGATGGTCCTGGGGTTCAGATGAGGGCGGAGCGGAGGTGGCAGAGGTCCCTAGGGGAGTCCCTGGGGTGGAGGTGAGGGTCCTGGGGAGCAGGTCCCTGGGGAGGTGGTAGGGGTCCCCGGAGAAGGGGGTAGGGATGCCTGGGGAGGAGGGGGGGGACCTGGGGAGA